TATATACACAAAAATAAATTACGCACCACATGCTTTCAGGGGACTGCAAATGAAGACTTGGTTAACTACATTAAGCCATGCACACCCTTTAGAATGGTCCAAATGTAGGATACTGGGAACATCAAGTGCCACCAGGGATGCAGAGTTACAGGAAGTGAGGATGGATGGAGCATGACAGGTTCAGCTACTTTTTAAGACAACCTGCTGTTGTCTTACAATACTAAACATGCTCTTGTAATTAAGCAACCCAACCACTGCTATCTAATCAAGGGGCTTGAAAACATGCCCATATAAAAACATAGCCGGGCGGTGGTGGCGCACGCCTTTAATCCCAGCACTCGGGAGGCAGAGGCAGGCGGATCTCTGTGAGTTCGAGGCCAGCCTGGTCTACAGAGTGAGATCCAGGAAAGGCGCAAAGCTACACAGAGAAACCCTGTCTCGAAAAACCAAAAAAAAAAAAAAAAAAAAAAAAAAACAAACTTAAACATGTTCTATTCATGTTTGCCAAAACTTGAAAGCAACCTAGATATCCTTTAGTCGATTAATAGAGAAAACAGCCATGGAAACTTCAAATAAGGGACTATTATTCTGTGATTTTTAAAAAAAAAAAATGAAAGAAACCTAAAGGTCTATATACGTTAGATGCCAAACTCTAATACGGCATTCTGAAAAGGCAAAACTATGGAGATGGTAAAAACAAGGTCAGCAGTGCCAAAGGTATCAGAGACGGAGACAAATGGGAACAGAGAGGGTAATTAGGGCAGTGAAAGTGTCCTCATAACACTGTGATGGTGGATATGGTCGCTGTACATGTGCCTAAGCCCACAGGATGGACACCAACAAAAATGAGCCCTAAGGTCAACCAAGGACTCTGGATGGTAATAATGTGTCGATACAGGTTCATCATATGCGTCATCTGGGTGAGGTATGTTGATAATGAGAGAAGGTAGGAATGTACGCAGACAGGAAGCAAAAGAGGTATTTTCTTTACCTTGGTCTCAATTTTGCTGTGAACTTAATTCTGCTTCTTTTTTTTATTAAAAAATGGGGGTGATTTTTTTAAGGTAATCTTACACAACTAATGATCACTAATGTGTCCAATAGGGTATTTAGAAGAAGAAGAAAGGACTACCAGGAAATCTAGAGAGGAGACAGATCACCAATCCCCCCGGAAAAGGTGATAACTCAAGCTGAGATGGTAGGGCACCAGAGGGCCAGAGCCAGGTTAGCTGCTGATTCAATACATCAGTTGTCAGCACTGTGGAACGGTGAGACTCCATCAGACCACTTCAATCCCTGGCACACCAGGTCCACAGTGCACAAGGCATAACTCGCCCTGATGCCCTTTAAACTGGCAGCCACTCGGGGTGTTCTTTGATTCATTCTTTCCACCTGAAAGGGGAACATGTCTCCCCAGTCATAACACCTACCAGTGGGCTGTAGGAAAACAGCAACAGCAGAGATAAAAGGCAAGTGTCCCAATTATAGACAAGAAATCCATCCAACCTGCTCTGTTAAACACACTTGATGAAAAGAAACACAGAAGTATCTGACTTTCCGAAGCTGGGAAGTTTGGAGAGCACTGGTACCCTTAAAGTTGATACTCGAAGCAGAGCTGCATCAGATTCTATTCACATCTCCACAACATCTTCCACAACATCTCCACAACATCCTCCACAACATCTCCACAACAGCATCCTGTCACCCAGCCATTTCCACTGAGATCCTGGAATAATGATGATGATTCTCCTCCTTCTCCTCCTCTACCTCCCCCCCCTCCTCCTCCCCCCCTCCTCCTCCTCCTCCTCCTCCACTTCCTCCTCCTCCTCCCCCTCCATATGTGTTTAGTGTGATCTTAGTACTTGGGTGATCAAGGTAACAACAGCAAGCGTTGGGAGTCCAGCCTGGACTCAGTAAGAAGAGAGAGGGGAAGGGAAGGAGGGTAAAAGGAGAGAGAGGGGAGGGGAGAGGGAGGAAAGGGAAGAAAAGGAATGGAGGAAGAGGAGAGGAAGGAAGAGAGGAAAGAGGAAGGGAGGAGGAAAGGAGAGAAGGGGAGGCAGAGGAAAAGAGAAGAGGAAAGAAAAGGAACTGGGGGAAGAGAATATATACAAGTGTTTATTATTATAAAGTAGTTCATGAATCGAAGGCCTAAAAAATACATAAAATACACGAATGCTCTCTACTTAAAAATAGTGTATCAAATCTCATGTTGCCACTGGTCCTTCCATACTTAAAAAACAGAAGGGAGAAAACACCCCCAGTGACTGACAGCCTTTGAAATCTGACACGTCCTTAACCAAGCACACCACATTTGAAAACCATAGTAAATACACTCCAATTTCTTTGGCTAGAAATTAAAAGCCCAGTCATAAGAAATGTCAAGAAAGAAACCCCTCACTTTGTTCCTGTATTTTTTTTTTCAGTCTACAGATCACTTATGCAACTTACTTTACAGGGAAGTATTTCTAACCACCTTCTCCCATCAGCTCTCTACTCACAAAAATCAGCAGAAGGGATGGTGCCCTGCTTTGTCACAGGCTCAGCCTTTAACTCACTAGCCTAGCAATTACTGCACACACCTATTCGAGATGTTTCGATCTATGTTAGCACTTTTCATTCAGGAAAAAAAATCCGTATGTTCCTATTATTATTATTATTATTATTATTATTACTATTATTATGTTTTGTTTAAAAAGGCGATTATATTTCCAATGCCTTGCCTAAGTTTGCAGTACATACTCCAAAGCACAGAGGAAGCGGAGCACAACTAACTAAAACCGCCAACACACACTAGTGGAGTGACTAATTCTTCTAAAACACAGGTCAAGCGTTACAGCAATACATTCCTGACAAAAACACTAATTTTCTCTCTTAGCTTCTGGGCACGGAAGTTATAGTTTAAGAAATTAATAATAACTTTAAAAATCTGAGATCATATTATAGGAAAGAGTTGACGAAGAGTCTTGTGAAGCCATGTGTTCATTCTGAGAAAATATCTCACAAACTAAAGTTAGACAAAATAAAACAGAAAAAAAGAAGACCCATGTCACATTTCTGACTATATGCACATTACTAATGTTTTATCTGTTTCAATTACCTACCCTACTCTTTGCTGCATCCCTGACTTTATGGTTTAAAAAAAAATTTCTTTTTTTAACTAACATTTCACAAAGGTGAGCCACAGGTTTAGAGTTCTTTCAAATTAGTAATTGAAACATCTGCCAAGTGGAAAAAAAGCACATCGTTATTCACAAGAATAATAATTTGGTTTTTTAAAATAATATATATTGGTGGGAGGTGGAAAGGCGGGGGTTGGGGAGCAGGAGGCGGGATGAGAGGAGGATCTGTGGTTGATACGTAAAATTAATAAAAAAATTTTAAAAAAGAATATATCTTGGTTCTAAATTTCTAAAGCGTGAGTTAGTATACATAAATACTTTAATTCACAGCAGTTAATTAATGGAGAGGACAGGCATTTGGCAAGGAAGACATTTTACTCTTCATATTATCTGTCTGACGTTGTTAGAGAAAACATCCAGCCCCCACTCCGGGAGAATCCACCGGGAATGTGTTCAGAGGCTCCCTCCAGCAGAGGGCATGGCAGATTCAACATGGAAACCCAGGCTTTGTTTATCAGCCAATCTCTCTCACTGTGGCTTTGCCTGGCGACTTTTACAACCCACACTGCATTGTTACTTCCGCCACCACAAAATGGAAACTGTGTGTCATCTTACCATTTAGCAATCCTATTTACCTAAAAGCCAACTGTAACAACAACAAACTCAAAGGGAAGTCACCGGACATGTAGCTTTTACTTTAAATATGTAAGCCGGTCTTTAAAAAGACCTTAACATGGGGGTTTATTTTTGATGGAGATAGAATCCACTAGGTGCTAAGCAAGCACTCTGCCATTATACTCCCTCCCAGCCCAACGTGGGAACTTCGTAAGAAAAAAGTTTCTACCTGTACTAGGTACTACCCAAACTCTCAAAAATACCTGTGGTTGTAAACTTACACAAGTTTATCAAGCAACCACAATTTCCAGGGAGAAAAATAATTGTGTGCCTTAGTATCGATTGTCAGTCTGAAAAGGTTCATGAAAAAAAAAAAAACAAATACTTGTATTAAATACAAAAAGCGTCTACGACGGTCTGTCTTTCAACCAGTTGTTGGTAGGGTACATGTATGTTCACGTTTGTTGATATATAAAAAGGACGGGGCTTTTCAGGCTTCAAGATTTGGAAGAGGTTAAATATGAACTATTTGGCTTATTTTCCTTGCTTATTTATTATCCAGACAGCAACTTATTAAATATCATAAGCTTGACACTACACATCTGCATTGTCTTGATGGCTAATAGAATTTACACATTTAGAACCCAATTAACTCTGAGTTAGTCTTCACGATTTTTCTATCCTGAAAAGCTGGCTTTGGATTGCCCTGCTTATGCATGCAAATTAACGAATGTTGTTGAAGTTATGAAAGGTCTTAAATATAAGATCTACATAATATTTTATAAGACTGGCCATAAAACAAACAAACCAACAAAAAGTCACACTTGCTGCTATTAGACGTGAGAAACTAGGGCCCCAGCAGGGGGAAAGTGACTGTGCCAACAGATACTTAGCAACTCCTGGTTAAACACTGGCTCTGATTACACCTGCTGACAGACTCAAGTGTCTAGGGACTCCTGGCCGAGGAGGGGAACATCAGTGTCTTTGATTCTAACACCCAGGGTTGTAAGTGAAAAGTGCATCCATGTTTTATGTTGTTGAGAAAAATCAAAAATGTCTGCACATTACACGTATTTTAAACAGCAACACTCTTTCTATTATACATGCTTAATAAATAAGTATTAAACCATCAGAAATTAAAATAGATGTAGAACCTTGCAGTTCTATCGGGCTTATGAAGAATTCCATTTCACAGATTTATAAACATGCTTTCAAGCATTTGTTACTAAAATCAAAGTGAAATTCCTTTTGTAATAAAGGCTATACCTATTTTCTTCATTAGCGACTGCAGACCGTTCTCCGACTCAAACCCAGAGCTCAACTACCCGCAGCTTGTAGCAATGTGTTGCCTGGCTCCCAGTTTGAGGAACGTGTCTCCATTTTTCTTTTAGAAGGTCTAGTGTGAAGCAGGATAACTCGAGCCCACGCCACACTGTGCTGTTCATCTGTCTGCCCCGACTTTATGGGAAAACCACTTAGATATTCCGCTGCATCTTTCTGGTAACATAGGAAGCTGAATCAGTTTGTCACTGAAGTCATGGATTTGTTCTTACGAACGAGAGCATTTGAAAACCTGCGGGTGTGGAGATGGGTTTCTGAGGAATTCACAAATGAAGCTTGTCCAAGCAGACTGTTTACACCTCCCCGACTCTCCCCTCCAGCGCTAGCCCCACACCCCCACCCCTTAATTTAAACAGGTGAACAGCTGGTCAATTCTAAGCCTGCTCAACGAAGAATGACTCATGAGGAAATCCTGATTCCTTACACACACTCTGAAACTACAAAACGATCCGCCTGCATCCAAACTGCAAGATCTTGGGTTTCCCTTTGTATTTCTCACTATCAACTCAGATCTGGGCTGTGCCCAGGCAGGAGATACCCTTCAGGTCTCCTGCGTTGGGGGGAAGGACCCTGCCACGTCACAGCCTGCTGCAGCCAAGCCTTTAATGATCAAAAATCAAAAACACCGGCTTTTCCTAAGAGCACTTTCTCCACCTTCCTCCCTGACCAGCATGCATTCCCTTAAGGAATTCCAAGATGCCTGAGCCAACAGCCGAGAGGCACAGCACTTAGCTCAGGAGCCCACGTTTCTTTCGGGGTTCTCTAATTGTTTACGTCCTTCCCCCAGAATAGGTGGAGTGTCTTGAGTGGGGCCGGCCGGGCTCGCCCCCATCCCGGATGGCTGCAGTTTATAGGTGTCCCGGTAAATCTTTAAAGATGGGGAACGATAGATCAGTTGCAAAGGTGGGGCTCAAAAAAAAATAAAATAAAATAAAAAGGGAAAGGTACGGTCTTGGACCCTTCCCGGCTCTGGCCGCCGGGACAACCCAACAGCGCTCCCTCGGTGTCCCCGCCCGCCGCCTCCCCGCCTGTGTGCGCACGAGGCTGCGGCACCTACGTCAACAGCGCCCTCGCTTCCAGACCCTTCGGCGGCGGCGGCGGCGGCGGCGGCCGGGACTGCCGCAGGCCCGCGCGGCCCCGCCCTCGGGCCCTCCGCAGCCGGCCAATCCGCGCCCTCGAGAGGCGGGGCCGACGCCCCCAGGCCCCGCCTCTGCGCCGCAGCCCGCCTTAAAAGCCCGCGCCGCGCGCCGGGGCGGCGAACAGCTGCGCTGGCCGCGGAGAGTCTGAGTGATGCAAAGTGCCATGTTCCTGGCTGTCCAGCACGACTGCGTACCCATGGACAAGAGCGCAGGCAACGGCCCCAAGGTCGAGGAGAAGCGAGAGAAAATGAAGCGGACACTGTGAGTATGCCCTCTCTCCCGCAGGGCTCTCCTTACCCCTGCCTGGCTTTTGCTGCTAGGGACCGACCTTCCTTCGATCTCGGCTTTTGACTTAAGCTAACTCCCGTCTGCACCTCTGCAGAGAAACCGGGGAAAAGAAAGAAGGGAAAGTTAGCTTGCTAGATAGATCTCGTCGTTGTGCTTTTTCTGTGTGAGCTTAGAGAGTTTAGGAACTGCTGCGGGAAGTTGTTATGATGAAGTGGGAGGCAGATGGGCTGAGATGACTCCAGTTGGCTTTTTGTTCTGCATTTAACGCGACCTAAGAATCCTGCAGCTGAATAAGGGTCCGCAGCGCCCGGACATTGCATTGTGAGTGCTGCGCTGCTTACACAGCTGCTGGGTGATGTTTGGGAAGATTCTGAACGTATTCGCTTTAGATACGATTTTAAATCATAAAGTAGGTCTCTCCCAGTCACGACTGTGGAATGAGTAATTTGCTCTGCAGTATCTGCGGTGGAAAAGCACTGTGGGCGGTCGCGGAGGGGAGCTCGGGAATCCATCACACACACACACACACACACACACACACACACACACCTCTATGCACTGCCAATGTCGTCCCTTCTGCCTTGAGTGCGGAAAGGAATGGAACATCGGCTGGCTCAAGACACTTCCCCTGCTGCTGCTGCTGCTGCTGCTGCTGTTTTCAATCTTCAAATGTCACCAAGTTGTAGTTACCCATGCAGAAAAACCGCGACCTTTTTTTGTAGGTCCGAAGTAACTTGTGAAATTTTAAAATATCCTCCGCTATGTTATGTAGTCCTATCCTGCTTGGAAAAACTCATTATAGTCAGGTGAATGGATGAAATTATGTTCAATCCATGAGGTGCTGAGTTTAAATGCTCCGGGGATGAGCATTCTTGCCTGTCGGGTTTGTTTGTAGCTTTTTGGGTGACTGACCTTTATGCTGCTGCAACTGATGGTAAGTTTACTGTTCAAGAATTGCTGCTTGAAGTATTTTTTTGTTTTTCTCTCTTTTCTAGCTTAAAAGATTGGAAGACTCGTTTGAGCTACTTCTTGCAAAATTCCTCCACTCCTGGGAAACCCAAAGCCGGCAAGAAAAGCAAACAAGCTTTCGCCAAGTAAGTTGCAGAGATGAACATCTAGTCACTGAACAGGAAAGAGGAACTGGCTTGTGTGGTGTAGCTCACGTGTGGCACTTCTCTTGCAGGCCTTCTCCTGAGGAAGCGCGGCTCTGGGCAGAAGCCTTTGATGAACTGCTGGCCAGTAAATGTAAGTGAACCTCTTGAATTTGATCTCTTACTAGTATCCCAAGCGCCTAGAACTGTGTCCACACCACACATGAGCAGCCTGCAGGAAGTACCTCAGACTTTTACTGCATAAAGCCTGTTTTTCTTGCCCTGATTTCTCCAGTTTAATCCTGGAAAAGCATGAGGTAGTTACTGCAGGTGGGGAAGAAAAATTAGCCTAAAAAACTTAAAATGAGAGTTACTCATAGTTAGGGTTAAGTCAGCTTTTCCATTGCATAGAATATTTTCAAAAAGCTCTAGTCCCCAGAGAACCAATGGATGGCTATACTATCAATATTTGTTTTGCATTGACAGTGAAGTTAAGTATGGTTTTTGTTGCAGAATACAAATGTAAGCATTTTGCCTACTGGCATCTTAGTGCTTAAAGAGCTTAACTGTGAGAACGGCAGGTTGGAGTAAAATCTAGAAAACTGGCCATTCTAGTACTAGAAGAGCGGTGTGTTGTTGGGCCCCTCAGTTTCCATTCTACATGCCTGTCTTCTTGTGTTTTCAGATGGACTTGCTGCGTTCAGGGCCTTTTTAAAATCTGAGTTCTGTGAAGAAAACATTGAATTCTGGTTGGCCTGTGAAGACTTCAAAAAAACCAAGTCACCCCAAAAACTGTCCTCAAAAGCAAGGAAAATATATACTGACTTCATAGAAAAAGAAGCTCCCAAAGAGGTAAGAAAACATTATTCCTGTCAGCACAGTTTGGACGTCTTCAACACTGTAGGGACACACAAGAATTGAATATACCAATTATAGGGCACATGGGGAGATCCATGTATGGCTCTCTACCCCAGCTGTCCCAACATTTAAGTTTCTCCAAAGTTGATAGTTGTAACTGATCACATATTACCTCTTTTTTATGTTTTGTTATTAAGCATTGATTTGTAATGTTGAATACCAAATAAATCAAGTTTTGTTGTTTTTATTTTTTTTCAGATAAACATAGACTTTCAAACAAAAACTCTCATTGCCCAAAATATCCAAGAGGCTACAAGTGGCTGCTTTACCACAGCTCAGAAGAGGGTATACAGCTTGATGGAGAACAATTCTTATCCCCGTTTCTTGGAGTCAGAATTCTACCAGGACTTGTGTAAAAAGCCACAGATCACCACGGAGCCCCATGCTACATGAGACAAAGAGCCCCCAACAGAGGACATTTCATTCTGTCTCCCAAGAGGAAAGGCTGTGACCTGCCAAAAGACTGACCTTGAATTCAGCCTGGGTGTTAGGAAACATCACCCAGAACTATTGATTCAAAGTTGGGTAGTGAATCAGGAAGCCAGCAACCTAGGACAGGCTCTGTGTGAGAACAGCTTCCCTTGCTGTGTGAAGAACAGAGGGAGGGGACAGGGTTCTGAATGTGCTGTTCCTCACTGGGAAAGCAGGGGTCTGAGATGAAAGATACGATGGAAAGTTGTTGGTCAAACATTTAAAATCAATAGGTCTGGGATTATGTGGCCTTAGCTAGCTGGCTGTTCATCTTTCCCTACATCAGTCCATTGTTACCACGTAGTGGTTTTACTTCTAGTTTTAATATTTCAGTACTAAGGAACATTAAAATGTTTACTGTGTGCAAGGGTGTTGACGTTCTTAGGACTACAGGTGGTTAGTACTGTCCGTGTCCTGGATCACTGAAACCGAAGAGTATGTTTGCATTGTTTGATGGTGTGTGAGAGGCAATGAGCGCTGTTCTGTAGAAAACCGGTGTCTGTTATGAGTGCCAAAAACTGTCTTGCAGGCAGCTACACTTTGAAGTGGTTTTTGAATACTTTTAATAAATTTATTTTGATAAATAATGTCACTGAACCTTTGGAAGTCCAGATGTGATTCTGTTGTGTTTGATTTCAGTAACTGGAATTGTGTCAGCTATAAAAGAAAGCAACTTTCTAGTAAAGAGAGAGATGACCATGGGTTGATTATTGTACCAGTCCACTGAGAGCGGCGGACAGCCCTTAGAAGTGAGAAACGGTTGCTTCAAGGAAGATAAACCTATAGACATGATGCAGTTGTAAGAAAATCAGATCACATCCCTAGGACCACTCATTGTGAAAGTCAAGCTTGTTATTTAATAAAATAAAACGAAAAAAAGAGCATTGTCCTGTGTGTTAAGGACCAGTTAAAAATGCGTAATAAGAGAGCATGGTGGAAAGAAACCTGAAGGTTATGTGGCCAAGCGGCCTAAGAGGAGAAAGAAGTTGAAGGAAACGTATGTAGACCTTGGGCCTGCCTGTTTTATTATTGGCTCCAGAAACCTACACAGGACTGGCATGGGCAAGACACATACCCGATCATTGTTTCTTTTGTGATGGGTCAATGTGAGAATCTCAGAATTTTCCTGCATCTCCTGCCTTCGCTAGGCTAATAATCCCTTAGGTAGCGCTGAAGAAAGCAAGTGCTTTCCTTAGACTAAACGCAGGAATGTTCTAGCTGAGAAAGGCCTTCCTTCTGGCTAGTGTAGAGGAATTCCCTTTCCTTGGTGAGACAGGTTTTCAATTTCTGGAGGGGAGGGTGGGGGAGGGTTAGTAAATGGGAGGAGACAGGGCCCACCCTCAGCTTGAAATTGGAAGATCTGAGCCCGAGTAATGATAGTCGCGCAGCTTTGTGACCCTAAGAGTCCCCGTTTTCCACCGTGTCTCCTCAGTGTATACCTCTCTGCCCATCTCCCTGATATCCGTACATAATGAGGGGTACTTTAGAAATGTGAAACACTAAGAGGGGCTTTTTTTTATTTTTTCCCGATTTTCCGAAGGATAATGGCCCACGGTATTTCAAATGCTGTTTCTTTGTGACAACTCTAACTCACATCTTTAACCAGAGGTCTGGAAAAGGCACAAGTCCGGGAGGGGCTGCTCCTTCCTGTATCACCAGCAGCCCGAATGACATACGACAGATTGCTCTGATGGAAATGTGACACGAATGTGTCAGGTCTGCAGAGCTCTTAATTCATAAAGGCTTTAGCTAACAAAGAAAGCCACATTGCCCACCAAGTCCTATTTACTTGACCTCACACTGTGTCCGGCTTCTCCAGGGTTCCCACTCTGATGGAAGATGCCACCATGACTGCAATTAGCCCTCCTCCCTCTGCTCACCGTCTCCCACACCTCATATATTTCCTTCTTAGCTCTTAGGATCTTTTCAACACACAAACCTGATCTTGTCTCCTGTCGTTTACTAGCCCCTGACAGGTCTCCTAAACGTCAGGATGAAAGCAATCCCTAAGATAGCCTAGCCCCACAGGGCTGACTTCCTCTTACCTTCCAACCATGTACACAATTCCCTGCACCAGCCACGCTGGCTTTCTTCCATTGCTGGAAGATGCTCTGCCCCCCAGCCCCACGGAACCTTTCCTTCTGATAGTTCCTCTCGGCGGCACAGTGTAATTTTAGCTCTTACTCACCACTCACCTACCAACGCAATTGCCACTTCCCCAGGGAAGTGGACTCTGACCTCCTTCGCCTAGACCACATCCTTTTTTAGATGTCACAGCACCAGGTTCTAGAATTTAGGGTATTTAATAGAGGTATTTCCTAATAGGGGTTACATAATTATTGGATAATTTTATCTTCTCCAGCTAGACCGTGAAGAGTGCAAGTGAAGATCCTGCACTTTTTTTTTCTACTCTCTGCTGATTCCCAGCAATTGGTATATACAATGTAAGCAGGACAGATAGATGGATGCATGGATGGATGGATATTAGAAACTGTATGGAAATCAGTGAGATTAAAAAATATTTATCACTGCACAGAAAGATAAAGACAAAAACAACTGGGGATTTTTGGATGGAGTTACTGTTTTATTTTGTTCGTTGATTTAAATAAGAGATCAGATTATGGTCCCCAGGCTGGTCCTAAACTCCTAGGCTCAAATGATTCTCCTGTCTCAGCCTCTGAAGTAGAGGGGACTGTGGGCATATTTCACTGTACCCAGTTTTTTTAAAAAGGGCAAGATTTGAAAAGTCCACTGGCTTAAATGGCTGTAAATATTTCTAGAACTTTTTCATTTGACAATCAATCAATAAATATTTTTAACTAGGCATGTTCCCTGTGGCATTTGACCTTTGGTAAAAGGAAAAGCCAGCAACAAAAATAAATGATAAATAAATCAAAAGTTTTGACTTTCAGAGCTTCTGAAAGCTTAAGCTTTATTGAGATGGTATTTTCCACGTCTTCTTGTGTGGAACAAGCTGAAACAGATTTCAGATTAGAGACCGCATACCTCCACAAATAAGTATAACTTACTGTTCCAGTTTCCCACAGTTCAAAAACTTAGGACCCACAGTCCATTCATTTTGGTAATCTTTCATTGTCAATGTATTTTAATGCCAAGGATGTTTCAAAATATAGTCGTTTCACACAGTCACCCTGAAATAAATAGAAAGTTGTTTTTACATGTCATGTGAGCACAGGGAGGCAATGAGTGACTTTCAATGAAATCACCCAAAATTTACTAGGAAAGACTTTTAGGGTGTGTCTGATCATAGTATTTGATCATTTAGGGTTGGAGACGAGGCAGAGGTAGTGAACTTCCATTAGGAGGGGATCACATACAAAAACACTGGGATTCTGGTCAAGATGAGGAGCCTGCCCTGTGCCAAGCACCGTTTTCCTAAATTAGCCGGAAAGTGTAGCTGAGGGATTAGTCTCAGTCACGGAGAACATCACCAGTATTGAAAGGCAAACTTTGACAGGTCTGGCGCAGATACTTTTTGACGTATGTAGTCACTTTTGTCAATGGCAGCCAGATGAGTTCTCTGAAACTGTTGATAACTCTTGGCTAAGGAGTAGCTTGGAGTTACTCAATGAGATGATAACAACTTAAGAAGTTCTTCTGTGACCTCCAGGACAAGAGAGGTTGTCTAAGGCCACAGCACGAAATAAAGGGCTGGCAGAAACCACGTTTGATCCATGAACCAGCAAGGCCAACACACGACGTTAAGGGTAGGGGTGCAATATGATAGTAGGAGAGTAGTGCAAGAGGTGGAGGGCCTTGAATACTAAAGGTTAAGATTTTGTTATGAGCATTAGGCATCAAACTCAACTAAATGCATGGAAATAACTCAGCAATACGAAGATTGAAAGTATGGAAGCTGGGAAGTCAGTTAAGAGATTGTAGGTCAGATATGAAATTCCACTTGTCTACACCAGTACAAGAACAAATAATTCCATTTCGCTTATATTAAATTATACATTTATCTATTCTGGTCAACGCACCTTAGCCACAAGGCAATTGATGAAAAGACACCTTCCCTTTTCTCTAAGTGGCACCTATTAAGTAATGGATGAAATAAACATAAAAATCAAAATGTAGCCAGGTATGGTAACATGCTTACTCCCAGCACTTGGCAGGATCACAGAGGAGGAGGATCAAGAGTTCAGTTGAGGGCGGTGGTGGCGCACACCTTTAATCCCAGCATTTGGGAGGCAGAGGCAGGTGGATCTCTGTGAATCTGAGGCCAGCCTGGTCTACTGAGCGAGATCCAGGACAGCCAGGGCTACACAGAGAAGCCCTGTCTCGAAAACACCCCCCCAAAAAAAGAAGAAATAAAAATCAGTTGTTTGAAAGGAAGAAAGGAAGAGAGGGAGGAAATGAAGGAAGGAAGGAAGGAAGGAAGGAAGGAAGGAAGGAAGGAAGGAAGGAAGGAAGGAAGGGAAGAGGGGCATCTTATAAATAATGTGAAGGATTTTGTAAATAGAGAGAGGATAATATTCAGGAGGAGAAATCATCTCAACGAGGAACAGCAGGATTACATCTTCATTGTATGATGATAATTTGGAAGGTGGGTATTTTAAAGCGATACATATTGGAAATTTACTGTTGACTTTAATTTTGGGAAATATTTGTGAAGGGTTCCTGAGTCTAGAAAACACAGAAGCATAGAAGAGATGTGTTTTGAAAGACAGATCAAAAGCGGAACTCAAACACTGCATTTCGTTTCATTTTTTTTAATGTTTATGTACTTTAATTAAAACAGAACTATATCACACTTACTCTCTTCTCTTTCATCTCTCCCCCCTCTCCCAGGTACCCTCCCTCCAACTCTTCCCACGCACCCCCCACCCTAACTCTTAAATTGGTAGGCTCTTTTTCTTTGATTATTGTTGTTGTTGTTGTTACACACATTTATATGTGTGAACAAACATATAAATACAACCTGCTGGATCTGTTTTTGTGGCTTACGTGTATACGGTTTCAGGGCTGACCACTTTGTATTGAATAAGTCATAAGGGGGCCCATCCCTGGGAGAGGCTAATTCTCCCTCTCCCAGCAGTCATCAGCCATCTGTAGTTCGTTGCCTAGGGATGGGACCTGTGAAATGTTTCCCCGTTCATGTATTTTGATATATCCACCGTCCCAGTTTTGTTCATGCAGACATTTCTAGGGGAGACTGTTTAACCTAAAACTTCCTGATATTCTGGCTCTTATAATCTTTCTGACTCTCTTCCAAGATGTTCCCTGAGCCATACTCGGGTACTGAGCTGGGGAGTGGATGTATCCACTGGGGCTGGGCTCCTCATGATTGATTGGTTTCTTCACTGTGTCCGGTTTCAGTTTTCTGTAGTGGTCTCCATTTGCTGTGAAGAGAAGCTTTTACAGTGCAGGGTGTTAGCTGCTATCTGTGGGTATAAGGATAAGACTTAAAATACAGTAAGGAATTATAAGTTGATCTAATAAAGTGGTGGTAGTAGATCATTTTCTAAGGCCCGTGCCCTCACTAGCCCTGGGTATTTGGTTGGATTTACAGTACCAGGCATGATTTTCCTACTGTTGAGTGGGCCTCAAGTCCAACTAGACAGCTTTAGGTTACC